CCCCCCCCCAACTCCTGCCAACTGCAGTTCCTGTTCCGAGTCTTCAGAGAATCTGGAACAGGACCTCTAACCATCACCACCTCAGTACCTGTATTCCTCACCCAGTTAAAACAGCAGCCATCTTAGCTCTCTATAAATAGGTGTGTTGGGTGTGACGTGACCTGTGTTCAGCGTTTACTGTTATAATAAATGCCCCCGGCAGCAGGCCTGTGGTCGCCTTGCCCCCCACCCCCACCACCCCACACAGACAGGATGGGGTGAGTGTGCATAGCGGGGGCAGAGAGAGACAGCGACGCCGCCGACACTGTGGGGGGCGCCGCAGCCACAGGCGGAGGGGTGGTCAGCCTCCACTGGTCCTGAAACCTGAAACGACAAGAAGTGATCTAATACACACAGAGGGGGGGGGACGTGTGTGGAAAGGGAGATGGGAGTGTCCAGTGTCCAGCCATGCCAGTCTGGTGTGGCAAACGCACACACTCACTCACACACACACACACACACACACATGCAAGCACCAAGAGCAGCTGCTTACAGATGAACGAGGTGGGGAACTGAACCAGGAAAAAAGGAGGGAGGAGCAGAACAAACAGGGGAGCAAAAAAAGGGGTCACAAGAACACTCCCGTTAACACGTCCCCAGCATTGTCAGACCTCAGAGGCACCGTTTTCTCTACCATCACTTTTTTTATGTGATGTCACAGCCAAAGTGAGGGGGGGACACATCTGCAGCCTGAGATTACGGCGACTTCCCCAACAGGAAAACAGCACCAGATCTCCCTGTGGCCATCCGCACCTTACCAGGGCAGCTGCAACACCTCAGCGTGTGCACGTGCACACACACACACACACACACACAGACACACACAAACACGCGCTCGCTGCATACTCTCACACATGCTCACATGCACACAAACACGCTCGTAATCAAAATACTACGGCAGCCAAGTCTGTCCAGGATTTTTTTTTTTCCTCTCCGTCTTTTTTTTCCTCATCTTTTTTTCTCTTCTGGGGTCCTCCTTTTTTGTTTTTGTTTTTTCATTCGTTTTTTGCAAGGGTAAAAAGGTGGTGACAGTAAGGTTGGGGGATTAGTAAGGGGAATACCACGATGTCGCTCGCCCTCGGCCCCTGGAAAAGAGAGAGAAAAAGAGGGTGAGTTTGTTTGGCTAAAAGAGACGGACACCAATTTTAGGACGATGGTGTGCCTGCGTGTCTGTGTGTACGGGCAGGGCTGGGGCAGAGATAATACAGAAATGCAACAGGGCCAGGGAATAGAAAGGATTTAGTATTTCCAGACGTTTTGGGAACTGAAGCATTTGTACCATAAAATGGTATACCAGTGCCACTGCTCATTTTGGTGTTAAAACACTTGTGCGGCTATATGCTGGTGAAGGCAGAAACAGTGAGATAAGTGTTTTTAACAGCTACATGTAGTTGAGAAGTTCTCCTCTAAAGGAGGGTGTTTAAACACAGCTCTGTATGTATATTAGACTGAAGCCACTCTCTCCCTCTTTCTCTCTCTCCATTTTGTGAGGGCATTTCCCTGCTGTTGGGAGAGATTGCAGACACCCCCCCCCCCCACAAGCACACATGCACGCACACCATGCCACCCAGCCAGTCCCCACATTCCTCACACACAGCCACCCCCGAACCCAGATACCCCCCAGCCCAGAAGGGCTCAGGCCACAACAAACGGGCCATCAGATGGACAGTCAGGTGAATATCAGGCTGCAGGAATGAACCCTCTAATCAGGAGCGAAAGCTATGCTGGCTCCTCAAGGACCATCCTGCCACCACTTTCATAAGAAATCACCAAGAGCCAAGCAGAACATCATGACCTAACTGACCAATGGGGAATGCATTTATCACTACGCAACCTGACAGGCCTGATCTGACTGACCTGATCCGAGTTACACAGCCTGAGGGGCCAGGCAGGCACCAGGTGAACAGCTCTCAAGAGGCAGGTGAACCATCTCTGGGAAAGGACAAGGCTGCCAACAGCCCTAAAAGCGCTGACCTGCTGCTCGCAATCACTGAACCATACCTACAATCTCAAGATAAATCAGTGCCTCCAAGCTGGAATTGACTGCACATTAATGAGTTTAACCAATTATACTAAAAGAAATACTGACACCAAAAATAACATTTTAGCCAGATTTACTGCCACCAGATTTACCTTTCCTGTCATCTGAAGCCCTGGTGATTATTGCACATGCGCGTCATATCATCGAGTCCCTATAGGAAGCTGAACCCTCCAACACACAATAACTCATCTTTAACCAAAGGAAACACTCATGCACCAACAGAAGTATCGCCGCAGAACAAGACATTGCCATGCACAGCCCTAGCTTTTCAACCTCTGCCAGTCAAAACAAAACTAAGATTTGACATCTAGCAGGGACTCTAATGAAGTGACCACATTAAATATGAGCACACTGACCTACTCTCATGGACATCCCGTAGTTAGTAAAGCGCAGTCCAAGCCAACACTCACCTGAAGGCCCGCCCTCTGCCTCGTGGGGGGGTGTACCCGCTGTAGTAGCGTGCCCGGGATGAGAAGTTCCCCCCTCGTGAGCGGAAACGAGCACGGGGAAACCCGCGGTCTGTGGTGCTGATGCCCGGCCGGTTGGTTCTCTTGGCTCCAACCTGAGGGACAAAGCCACGTCAGTAACCCGTCACAGTCTGCCTACACATGGCATGACGCACTGGGCTAAAGCAGGGGGTATCGGACAGCAGCCCCACGACTGGCACCACCTAGGCCAAAGACTCACCTTGATCTGCCTTCCCCTGAACAGAGACTCATCCAGTGCCATCGCCGTCCGAACAGACTCTTTGTCCGCGAACTCGATATAAGCAAATCTGCAGAAAAATCAGTGTCACTCATGCATAACAGGGAAGCCAGCACACAGACCTCGCAGCCGAACAGCAAAGATCCCACAACACATCCCATCTGAGCACCAGAAGACACAGCCAGAGCAAGGAGTTCTACTCCGGCTCATGAGGCCTCACAAGCCTTGTTTCCACCAGTGCAGTGCTGGTGCCGGACTTTTCCCCAATCCAGCACTGGTTCAATGCATTTCCACCGCAAAAAAATGGCCCTGTGTCAGAAAAAAATGGCTCCAGCACAGCACCACAGACAAGCTGGGATTAGAATACGGTACAGTCAATGAAAGTGAGATAGGCTATGGCGTCCAAACCTTCTGTATACCTGGAAATCCATAACGGATAGTTAGTCTAATAACTGCGGTGCAGGCATCGAAACAACTTGCCAGCTTATTAGCAGAATAAGGTTACATTGTTTTTTTTTTATTCTGAGAAAGATGAATCTGCTGGCCAGATATAAATATATCGCAGGTCAAATAAATAGATAAAATAAAGGAAGAAATCATGAGGTGGACAGCAAGTTTTCAGCAGTTTTTAATGTTACTGCACAATGCTTAAAATGACAGCGGTAAAACAGCATGTGAGAATAAACTAACACACAGAGACGGGGGAGACTTTACGGAGACAAAATGTTGTAAAATTGCTTAAAATAATATGGATTGTATTTGCTGAAAATAAGATACTTTATGTAAAATATTAACTTGCACTAAAACACTTGTATAATTTAAATAAATTTAAATAAATGCAATGTTACACATTTTATTCTGTGAAAAACAGAAGCTCTACCTCCTGGCCAGATTTAATAAAGTATAAATATGTCACAGGTTGAATAAATAAAATATTGTGGCATTCGAGTGGTGAAGAGATCATGAGCTGGACTGCTATTAGCAGACTTTAATTGCACGATCCTCAAAAGGACAGCGGTAAAACAGGTAAAACTCAGTTAAACTGAGACGGGGAGCCTTTGCAGAGACAAAAGTGAATACAGGCAATGGAGACAGCGCAACAAGTCATACTCTGGAAACTTTTTTTCCCGTTTGTCAAGATAAATCCAAAAAACTAAAATTACAGATTAACCTCTACTTTACTTTCACTTAAGCCTACATAATATTTCTGTTCCGTTCTTTTCTGAAACCTGTGGAAATGCAACTGCAAATGAAACCTGTGGAAAGGCGCAACTTGAGAACCAGCCCAGCACTGGCATCAGCACCAGCACCACGTTGGTGGAAACGAGGTTACAGATCACAGCCATGGCAATGAACCTGCCACAGCAGTCACTGACACAGCTCACTGACCTCTAAATGTCACGGCATAGTGAGAAAGAGGTTGCGGAAACCCTAGGACCCAAGCACCTACCCTTTGGGATGGCCCGTGAACTTGTCACACAGTATGGTGACTCTGTTGACCGAACCGCACCCATGGAAGTGAGCTTCCAGCTCCTCTGCTGTCGCCCCGTAATCCACCTGAGCACAAAGTAGACAGGTAAGACAAATAATGACACCAGAACCATATACTAAACTGCTTCCTATGGGCTACATGTGCTTTTTACCTGCATAAACCACAGGACGAGCACAACAGTCTGGAGGCAAGTAACGGTACCAACTTACGTTTCCTACATAGATTGACCTCCCATCAGCCTCCATTTTCTCCTCGAGGGACATAATTACTGGGCCTGCTAAAAACAGACAGCGTAAATGCAAGTTTCACACAGACAGCTCACAATGGTAGATGGCGTTGGGCGGGAAATCTTAAAATCGTTCCACAAGCCAAAGCCAGTCTTTCCAGGATGCACCCCCACACCTTACCAAGAACACCATCTCTTCCCACCCCAAGCTTGTTCTCCACAACTGAAGGCAGCAGAGGAGCAGGCAGACCCTCCTATCCCACAGCACCGCTCTCACCGGGTGGAGGGCTCAGGTTCATCTGTTTCTCCACCTCGTTCTGTAGCTCCTTCAGCTTCTCTGCTTCCTCCTCCATCTCTCGTACCCGGGCTTTTATGGCCTCCAGCTCCTGCACAGAGGTTACAGTTTAAATGTAACACTACCATGGGCCACATAGCTTCCAGCAACATGGTCCAACACTGGAATCTGCAGCGACACCGTGCACCTAGAACAACCACATATCTAAGTAAACCACCGGCAGGAGAAATGAGCTAAGACCACATCTACCAAGCTGGACTGCCGTGATCAGGATGGATCGGCAACCCAAGTGGTTGTAACCTGCCAACATTGAACAGTGCATCTTTCGCATGGCTATGAGATATACGAGTCGTTATAATCCACCTGGGTAGCACAGGAAGACCACTGCCACAGACGGCTGTAGAAGATCATGCCGGTCCCCCCCATCCATGCGGACACAGTCTGTGCTGCATTGCAGGGCCATGCAAGCTGACCCAGCTGCTCCTCTACACTCTTATTTCGGCGGTACCTGCTCCAAAGCACGTTCTAATGAGGCACAGCCGCAGCGGCCAGTAGGAGCTGATTCTCCCGATGGGGACCAGAAAACCGATTGGTCGTATATTTACAGATCCTCCGCATCGATGCTTTTGACAACAGATTTGCCCTGTAATTCCTCATCCGCTGATCAACTACAGTTTCACTGTGGTGTGATTCATCTGCCATTTGTAAGTGCTGAAGAACCGACTGAGATCCTAAGCTAGCGGAGAAAGGGCATCGCGTACCAGTCCAGATTGCAGCGATGCCATAAACAAGCCGGCTGCAGAGCCCCGTGCAGGTCCCCGCTATGTTCCGTGCTAGACGCATTAAGAGCCATCGGGTCACCCATCACTGCTCAGCCTGCCACCAAAGGGCGGACCTTACAAACGCCTCCGTCCAGACCAGCCAGGGTCGCGCGGCCACCACCGTCCCGACCCCGCATCTCAACTCCACCCCCACATCGCGCAGGCAGCAATCATCCATAATGAGTCTGGCGCAGCCACCGCACCTAAACGCCAGTGCGCCTCCAGCAGGGCATCCCTCATCCGCCCTCCGCCTTCCTCTCGCAATTACGTTAATTAAAAACATCCCGGCTCTGAACTCCAAAACTAAAGGCAGAGAGTGTGTATTTCCCGAGGCAAAGAGGCGTCTTTACCGTGAGCCGGTCCTTTCTCTGCGGGCGGACAAACTCACACTGCAGCAGCTACTAATGGCGGCCTGTCCTACCCTCGCCCCCTGTCTCTCACAATTCAGTCTCGCATTTTTGCAGCGAAGCCTCCCCCCTCCCACAAGACAGGCAGATCTGGCGCAGGGAAACCGACAGCGTCGCTGCGCCAAAATGGCGACCCGTGCGTCCAAGCAGCGCCGAGACGGTGAGTGTGGCTGAGCCACAATGGCGCGAGGGCCCTAGCGAGCGGCTCCAGTTGCACGAGGAGCAGCGCGAGATAACAATCACAGTCGAAACATGGACCGCTCGCAACTAGAGCTAATAGACGCACGAAAGAGGAGCCACGCGTATTACCACTAAGAAGGGGCGTCCCATACTCACCGGATCTTCCACAGAGGCCTCTCCCTCATCCAGACCAGGCTCCTCGTCGCCCACCCCTGTATCTTCCAGCTCCGGGTGTCCCGGATCGGAGTCCAGTAGCGACTCCTCCGTTAGCCCGTTACCGAACTCCGCCATGGCCAGACGCCGCCGATCCGACGCGCCTCACGGTCGCACTACGGGTATTGGCTCACGCGGGAGGGAAAGCGGCGGGAAGCGGCCGGCGACGCCGAATCGTATATAAAATACCCAAATCGCCGGCTGAGGGCTCGGCTCGCAGTATCGGTTGTCCCTTTGTGAAGGCCTTCAATTCAGCACACTTTATAACTCACATGAAGTAATGTGCGGCTGTGCTTATTAGAAACCCAACAAATTCCCCCCCAAAAAATTAAAAACCCCGAAGGTTTCTCCTCTCGAGCGCCGTGACTCCTGGAACAGAAATGGAAACCGGAGGCGGGGTTTCCCGCTACTGCGGTCACCAAATGGGTTGCTCATTGGTTCGCTCAGCATTCCAGACATACCCCTCAGCATTCTTGCGCCCTACCATTGGCCTGCTACCAGGTCATGTCAACACTCAGGGCAATTTCATCGTACCGTTGAAGTGCTAATTGGACGACATAAATGTCAATCACCGCCTACATCCGCTTCGTCCCATTAGCGCTACCTCCACGACAGCAGTGTTCATTAAACATATGAAATACTCCGGCGATAATGCCAGGTTTGGATCCACCCAGCCATAGCCATCCTTTACGGGGTAATCCCGAGAGCTTTCTTTAAAATACACTGGTAAAATATGTATATCGACGAAAGCTAAAAGGGTAAACAGTTAAGAATATAATGTACATTTGTTTTCTTTTGTACCTGTAACCTATCAAAATCCTAATTAAGTAAATTCCCACCACAAAGCCTGAGAGGGGTTTCTGCTGGCAATGACAATGGTTGTTTAACATTGCTCTTCCAGGCAATTTTAGTCTTTGCCCTCGTCTCTCCTGTAAGCATTCACCCTATATTGGTTTACACGTGAATAATCCTTTTTTACAATGTAGAACAGACAATATGTGCACATCATATTTTCATTTTTCATGTTATTTGTGTTTTATCTGCAGCATATCTACCTTTAGCCAGACAAAAGATTAGAGGACCAAGTTTAGCAGCATTTTAAAACTGCAGGTTGAACGAGTATTTTGGTTTCATTTTAATCTTTAGACTGAAGAGATATCTTAATTTAAACCTGCCTATAATCTCCAGCCAAATGCAGATAATAGGTGCACCAAAACAGTTATTCTCAAAAATCCTCAGTTAATTCACATTACTTGTGAGATCCATTTAATAAACAGCTAGCTCTATCAGAGCAAAAATCGAGATGGACTTGAAATAACAATCAGCGACTATCCAAAATGATAGGAACCAGACAATGCAATCAAACAGTTTTATTTCCTTTAGCATGAACCAAAGAACACGTGGCAGAGAGCAGAAGAATCTCAGAGAATATTCCAGCAGTGCCAACAATCCCATCCCAAGTTCAACTTCAAGTCATTGCTTAGGCAGGGCAGATAGTAGCATTTAATTAAAAACACATATTAAGCAAATGCAATAAAAGCAAAGTGATTAGACAAACCGATTAGAGCATCGTGCAAAAGCAGCGTCATACCCCTTCAGCACAGCGTGGTATCCCACTGAAGGACTGACTGCAGGCTCTGAGCACGGTTCTGCTGCTGGTCACCAGAGCTACGCTTCCCCGTTTGCAGCGATTTACAGAACATTATACTTTGAGACATCATAAAATGACTTCGTATTATCATTACCATCAATATAAGGTGATGTTACCATGTCTGGATAATAAATACAAAAGGTAATCAAGTTAAATCCATTCCACTCAACCTGGACAGGATCAAAACAAAAATTAGTGTGTCAATATTTTGTATTAAAAGACTAAATATTTTTTGGTTTTTCAATGAAAATAGAAGAAAATTTACAATTGTCATACTGTCATACTGCTCTGCATTTCAACTTATTAATGAAATTAAAATATGCACTCTTCTATATCAGCTAGTTTTGCCTCTCACCACCATCTTACTGTTCACTTTGTGTTTTGCAGTAATGTATTACATATCCAAAGGTGAGTCTGCTACCTTACAGGACACCAGAATGACCCCAATCTCATTAACACATTAGAATACCTCAGGGGAGAAAAAAATGTAACAATATATACAAAACCCCTGCTCTCTTTTCACAGTCTGGTACTGGTTTAAACAAGCCTGTCAGGACTACTGCCAGTGAGAAGCATGAAGAATGTCTTTAACTTCATTAAATTGGAAAATGTTTGACTAAGAGAAGGATTTGCAAAGAATGATTTTAATTTACAAGTTGACATATTATATGTACACATTTTTCCACAAAATTTCCTAAATTGGCACAAAAATATTTTTAATTATATGTAGTACAAGACTTTGGCTCAATGATTTTTTGTTCCAGGGTATGACTTTGCAGTGGTGAGCTCTGGTCCTTATATGGTTATTTGGTGTTCAGTGAAGGGATCCCCCCCAGACTTGGTGGTAAAAACAGTAGCAGATCTTAGGCTGATATTGTATGATGTGATAAAAATGCATCACTTAGGCTTCTCCGACAAAGCCAGAACAGTTTACGTGGGAACCTCAACCTTTTACCTATAACACCTCATACTCTGCTTTTGTCTCTAATCGTCACAAGTGTGTACAGGAGAGGAACCGCTTCAAGCCCGGGACCGGATTTCACACGGGTTACTTCCTGACAGCTCCATAATCCATCCATACATGGCCTTCACCAAATTATTAAGCCAAGCACATCTTGAGGGTAGAATTAACAAGCCTGAGTAACGCCAGAGAAGGTGGACCTGCAGTGACTTTTCCAGCAGTGTGCAGTCAGAACTAGGCTGGATTGTCATAGGAATAGCTAGTTCTTCCCATTGGCCCCTAGTTATTTTTGGATGTGTGCCTTGCAGGACGATTTGACACCAGATAAGCTGCCCACCACAAACTCACGATTAAGCAACTGATTAAACACGCTGCCGTCACACTGGCAACATTAGTCTCAGAAATTGTCAAGTCATATGATTGCTGGGTAAGATTTTCAATTAATGATGCAAGTGAAGAGGCCTCTCTTTCTCTTTAAGCTGACATGCATCTTGTAAAGTGAAAAGCGCTTCATGTTTGCAGGCCACTGGCCTCAATACTCTGTGTCTATATACAGCTACAGCTGTTGACCCATCAATTGAGTAAGGTAAACCTAGGGAATATGATACAAGTGTTAGCTCAACTAATTCAGAAAAGGCATTTTAAATAGGCCTAACTAAGCTTAGCCGTCCTCAACATCGGAACGACTGACTGATGCTTTCATTTTACTTCTTAAATCCACAGTTAACATATTGCTGGTTTATAGTCCAAGGACTGCATATTTTATCTGATATAGCTTGTGCTTATTTGACAGTTTGCAACAATTAAGCAAATGTTTTGTGCTTAAACCACTATATTAAAACTGGGCTCTTATTTTCCTCCCACCCTGCAAGTAGCATTCAGCTCCTACTGTTAGTAGGAGCCCAAGTTCTAGCCTAGTTCTGCCAGCTCAGCATATTTTCAGAAAGCTACTAACATGACCAGAACCCAGGACCAGGTTAAAATGACACCACTGTGTATATGGAGTTTTAATACCATTAGCAATGTACCACTCAATTAGTACTAAGCTGGATCCTGCAGATGTCAAACAGAATACAAAAACATACAAATGCTTCTCTCCACTGAAAAGCAAAGATCCCATGGGTCCATGGTCTCTTTCAGCACCTTAAAATCAATGTATCAACTTGTACCACTGGTTGGAGAGAGAGGTGAAACCACTGGCAATCCAGAACCAGTACCAGAACCTATGCTAGTACCTTTGCTAACATGGGAGGGTAACTGTCCAAAGTTGCTGGCTTTCAATGCAGATAGGTGCTGAGAGGAGAAGACATGAACTCTTCCCGCTGCTCTGGATTCAAACCCAACTCTGCATACCTCACACCTTCCCTTTAGAGCCTCATGACTTGACTGGCCCACATCAGAGGGTCCTGATGATACCAGCAGCGTGAACTGAACTGGTTTGGGTAAGATGGGGCGATTAGCCCGAAGTGCTCTGTACTCAAGGTAGCCGCTTGAACCAAAGTTTACTCTGGATGACAAGTCCTTTGTATCAAGCATCTGCAAAAGAAGAAAGAGGAGGAGAGTGAAAACACATTCACATATCATACAATCAACATCAAGTACCTGTGGAAGTACCAAGCTGCACAGCTAGCAAGATGGGTCATACCTGCTTTTCCTGCTGGAGATACCAGCGCTTCTCCTTTGCTCGGGTGTTCTGGAACCATATCTGTATCACTCTCTGAGGCAGCTTCAGCTCCGAGCCCATTACCTCACACTCTGCTGCATTTGGATGAGGGCATATCTCATAGCACGACTGTAGAATGGACAGTTGCAAGTTGGTAAGGAGAGTCCGTGGTCGGCGAGGAATGCATTGCTGCAGGTTGCTATTGCATTGTATCCCTGGATTGGACGAGAACACAGGTGGACTTGACATTGAGATTCTGGATAAATAACTGTGAGAGGGGAACCCCATCTGTTCATTTGGCGTGTTCATACTTAACGCAGCTTTGGTAGTCCAGTAGAGACCACGTTGTTTTTGAGAATCAGAATGCTTGCCCACAGGTGTTAGGGGTACTTTTGGTGCCATTCGACTGGTGGATCCTGGCCCAGAAATATGACTCTCTGGCTCATCTTCATTATTTTCCTTTACCTTATCATGCAGTTCATCATCTTTGTCTCTGTTGCATTTCTGAGGTGAGCGAGGAGGGCGAGTCTCTATTATTGCAAATGGGACAGAGAAATTTGAGGCTTTGGTAAAGGATTTAGCCTTAGGAGAAGATCGCTGTGTGCCAGTCTTTGACACTGTGAGACTTTTGACATCTGAGGAGGAGCAAGTCATAAGTTTTGCATTAGCAAAGCTTTTGGTCTCTCTCTCTACATCTTTAGTAAGTGGTGTTTTTACACAAGAATCCACTAAACTAACATCTGCTGTTACCCTACAGAGTTTGCGGTCACCCGTGTTTGGATTTGTGCCTCTAGATAAGACCGGTGATGAAAGTGGCCAGGTGAACTTTATCAGAGGCTTGCCCACAGCTGCCAGTGTGCCACTGCCAAGAAAGCGGACTTCCCCTTTCCGTTCACGAGCTCTCATGTTCTGAAACCAAATCTGGACAACCCTCTTCGGAAGTTTGACCCATTCTGATATCCGCTCAAATTCATGCTTTGCAGGATTTGGTTCTTTGAAGTAGCAACCATAGAGCACATCTAACTGTTCAGGTTGAATGATTGTTCTGGAACGCCCCCGTAATAGTTGAATATCTCTACTAGTATACTTCCTCTCTTCTTGCTGTTCTCCTTTGCTCTTTTTTTCCCTCTTACCATTATTGATTTGCTCTGCAGTCTTGATGCCCTTGTTTATTTTATTAATGCTACCGTTGAGAGACATGGATGCTGCAAATGTACCCTTAGGTTGGACATGGACCACAATAAGATCTGATGTTTCAGGAGCGCCCTTTGTTACTGCATTCAATCCAAGTCTCTTGAATAACTGGTTTTGCTCTGGGATCTTATTAGCAGACGTAGAAGTGGATGGAGCTGACACTGGGCTGCAATTCTTTCCAACACTGAGGTCTAGGGCAGACTCATTGTCATCTTTGCCATATGGGGTTTGGCATGGAGCTGTGTGTCTGGCAAGCAGTGGTGCCTTCAAGGGATCACAAAAGAGGTGAGTGGCTAGCGGTCTGGGTAGGATTGGGCGTTTTCCTTGATCTGGTTTGGCACCTTTAGAAATCCCCAATCCAACCACCGAAGGTGGTAGTGAGAGAATATGAGGACTTAAGAATGGTGTGATGACAGGAGCAATGGAAAAAGGGAGAGAGGCACCAGTAGTGATCCTGGACAGATTGCCCCGTTCAAATGAGAGTGGAGGAGCAGGGGAGTCTGACAGAGTTCCCAACTCCAGGTTTACATCAGGATCCAGCTTCTCCTTCTTAATATTCACCAGTTCCTGTTCTACAATCATGTTGCTCCTCCACTTTCTCTTCCTGAAAGTTAGCCTGTCGTCTTCATCTTCATCTGACAGGAGTACCTTTCCTTCCCCTGTAACTTCCTCCTCATCATGATTTCCTACTTTGACTAGGTTGCTTTGTTCGTCCTGCTCAAGGCTGCTTTGACTTTCCTCATCTGTTACAGTGGCCACAGTGTAAAATTCTTCCTGGTTTGACTCAGAAGTGTGACAGAAGTTTTCTTGGCCTCCAATTTCTCTGTTGTTTACATTTTTATCATGGTTCCTCTTCCTAATATCTTTACTGTGGTCAACTGCAATAGTGACTGGATGGATGCCATCCTTCCCTTCTATGCTATTCTGTCGCTCTTTAGTCTTTTGAACATCCCCAAACCACGTGTGGATCTCCACCACACTGAGTCCCACCTCCCTGGCCAGTTCCTCACAATCCTGCTGGGAAGGGCCAGCTACATCTGCTTGGCTCTGGGACTCAAGGAAAGCCCGTAACACCTGTGATTGAAAGTCTGACAGCGTCAATGGTTTAGTTTGGGAATATTTCAGATCCACACCAGTATAATCCTGAAGAGCCACCTCAGACAGTTTAGAATCAGTTCCAGGCAGTGTGAAATGTGGTTTTACGGCTCTGTCTTCAGAGCTGAATTCGAGACTCTCAGTTAAGCAGTGCTTTGCGCTTATGTCAGTGTGAGAGTTCTGCAGATTGCTGCTGGGTCTCAGGGAAAATTGAAAGTTTGTGGTACTAAGTTGAGTGTTGCTGGATGGGGATGTGCTACAAGGCAGTGGGGCACTCTGAGGGAGGATTGTGTCACGAGAAGATCGGAATGCCAATGGACTTTGAGGAACCGCTTCACAAGGTACTGCAATTTGCCGTTCACTATTTTGACACGGTTTAAATTGCATCTGCACTCCATAATTTTTTGTGTCTGTTGTGTTCTCTCCACCCATCCCATTTTCTTCTCCATCCTGAACGCCCCCCTTCTTGGTATATTTTAGGGGACTTCTGATCCCGATGCCCTTGCTCCCTGCACACTCCTCTTTTATCTTCAGGCCTGCATAAGTGTCCTTCAGTGACAAGTTTGCATTCTCTGGCTCCAAATGCACTCTGTCACTGGCTTTTTTATATACTATCTCATCCACACCTTCTGCAATGTCCTCTGCTTTTTCTATCATCTTTTCTTCAGATGAGGTTGAGTGGGCTGTAGAAAATTCTACTGATAGTCCCAAATTCTGTATGCCATGGGTTTTTTCTGCCAAGAGAACTTGCGCAGAACTCAAACTCGGAGTCAAAACTTGACCAGGTGCACCTGGATTTAGATTCTGGTTCTGCGTCTGAAGGCTGCTAATGGACAGGGACAGAAACTCCTGCTGCGATGTGACCCGAGGCAGAGGGATGGTGGAGGCACTAGTGCTGGCACTGGCGTTGTGGAGCGAGAACATTATGGAGGGTGAGGTGGACATACTGGTCGCAGAGTTTATAGCACAATTTGTAGATGAGGTGTTAGCTTTAGCGTTTCTCAAATTCTCTGTTGTACAGCTAGATGGACGGTCAGCATTTCTGCTGCGCGTCTGGTGCAATACTGACCTCAGGTGACTCTTCAGGCTGATGGAGCAGCTATAGGAGACGCAGCAAAGTGCACACTGATAGGGTTTGCTTGACATGTAACCAGGAGACCAATTTAGCTTTGGACAGGAAGTTGAAGGGGTTTTAGTGTCATCTTCACCATGGTTTTCAGAAGATCCTGTTTGCATCCGACAGAGATGGACGCTCAATTTTCTTTTAGGAGAGAACATCTCCAGGCACACGTTACATTTAAGACTTCTGGGACACAGAAACTCATCTAGTTCAAGGTCTGTATGGTTTTTCCTAGTGGTCAGGTTGTTCTTGTGGGGCTTTTGTGCAGTTCAGATGTCTTATGAAGTTCAGTGTGTGTCTGACAGAGAGGGAGAGATGTCACACAAGAACACTGTGAAATAGGAGGCCATCTGATATACTCGTATGTTATACAATAAGACAGGAATGGACAACAAAGATGGACTGAGATGGGAAAAAAATATATTCCCACCTGTTCTTTAGCTTTGTCTTCAGAATGGTCTTTCTATACTGGTATAGCCTGTACAAAGGGGAAAGAGGAGTTATTGAATAACACAGATATGTGGAAAAACAGAACAAAAAATGCAAATACAAAAATGACAGCAGGGCAATGGCACCATCTTTCTGAATTTATAGCTTTGTTGGAAATCGTAGGACAGGAATGAACCAAGGACTTCCTACTTATTCAAATGAACTGCCATAATGCAAATGTAATTATTAGACTTCATTACACTCACTAGGAAAAATTAGAAAGGAGACTTAATGTTGTAAGTTTGTTGAAGTAATTTGGTTGTTGGGATTAATGGATTTAACCACAAACAGTTCACAGTGAGCAAGAAAAGGTACATTTAAGTGGAATATATTTTATGTCAGGGGTGCCGAAACAGTTGATCAGTCAATTCTCAATTGTGCGTCACAAGTGTCCGTGCCCATTTTTCAGTGTGCAACTAATCGTGTTCTGTAAACATTTAGCAAGAAAACATGTCAGAAGCCAAGAGATCAAAAACATATTTTCATTCAGAGTGGGAAGACTATTCTTTTTTTGTTTACTCAAATTCAAAGTCCATAGGTCTTATATGCGAGCGTGGCTTTACTGAAGAAGGGCAATTTGGAGCGGCATTTCAAAACAATGCACAACAGCTAGGAGACCGAGTTCCCTGCTAAAATAGCCATATGCAGCCAAAAAGTGCAAGAACTGAAAAGTCAGTTACCAGCACAGCAGTCAATTTTTACCTGCTGCATCTTCCCAGTGCCAGCGGTCCCACTAAGGTAGAGAAATACATGTATTTACACTTTTTCAATTTGGAGAATTACCTGGATTTGTCTGGATTTGCTGTGTGCATGTTAACTATGTAGAAAGGCAATAGCTAGAGTAATAATAGAGTAAAAGAGTAATAGCTATGGTGCCCTATTTGAACTGGTAAATCTCAGCACACTGCACACTTGAAAAGTAGATCTTGAGTTAAAAAAGGTTGGGCACCTCTGCTTTAGGTTCTCTTATCTGGTTACTGGCTCTACATCTTATAGCCACAAATGTAAAGAAACCATTCAGCCCCAAAGCATTTCATGTGGGGGGGGGGGGGGGGGGGGGGAGTAGACTGATCTCAAAGGGGCATGATGGGAATGCCGCAGACAGGAATCACTGTGTTCTAAACCCACGGTCCAACCAGGCAGGGTTCGATGAACACCACCCAGCACCTGCATGCTGAAGGCTGCAGTGTGATGGAGCATCCCTATGAAGTGACATCACCAGAAGCCCGCATGCAGTTCAGGAGGCTGGCCAGCACATACGCGCACACACTCACACTGCTTCCAGCAGCCACTCCAGGCAGAGAGGAGCCACGCTGTGTCACCCAGCCAGATGAGGAGCCATGGCCTCCTGGAGTGCCTGATCCTGCTAACACAGGGGGCAAGACCAGACCAGTGTCCCACCAGGCATCTCACCCTGACAGGGGCACAGAAGCACTGAATGAGGGAACCAGCAGCCGTTTACGGCAGTGTTTCCCAAACTGGTCCTTAGAGACCCCCAGACAGTCCTTGTTTTTGCTCCCATCTCCCTGCTAGACAGTCAAAATTCCTGCCCTACCAGGAGCTAAGAGGAAGCAAAAACTTGGACTGCCTGGGGTTTCCCAACTGTGTGTTAGTCTGTGTCAGGGTTGGGCGATATCATATCTATATTATATCGCGCATGCGCAATAATCACCAGAGCTTCAGATGACAGACGGAGCATTTGGCCGGACGCCAGCTTTTCCGTGAAATACGGCCAGTAATTTACGCCCATAATTTGGTAAGAGGATTAGTAGTATGGCTAAAATATTAATGAGATGCGTTTTGTGGTACCCAAAAGTTAGTAATCTGTATAAACTTTATGTTTCTTAAATTCGATTAGCGGAGCACCCCACATAATACTGTTCTGGTATACTACGGTTTGGTATACTACGGTTTGTATACCTCAGTGCAATATGCACTGAAGCCGCGGTGAAGAAGAGCAGCCACGATATCTTTTAAAAGAGGAGATCTTCTGGATAAACAAGGTAAAAAGACGTTGGCGGTGTGGTGGTACTTTTTGCAGTTCAAAGTCTGACACATTTATGAAACATAAGGATATGTTGTATTTATACTAATAATGACTTTTGGACGTCATACAAAGCCTCATTAATAATTTAGCTATACTACTAAACTGCTTAAATTGTGGGCGTAAATAAATGTCTGTATTTCACGAAAAAGCTGGTGCATGACCAAATGCTTCGTCTGTCATCTGAAGCCCTAGTGATTATTGCGCATGCGCGATATAATGTCGATATATCGCCAAGCCCTAGTCTGTGTGGCCAATGTCAAGAAGTAAGCTAATCTTCCTTCACTGTGTCCTGACAAACACATGATGTTTCAGTTAAATCCTGCACCAAACATGACAGGATCAACTTATCCTGGCCTCAGTGGCACTCTACCAAAATCTTCCCTTTCAACCTTGTGGCCAACATGAAGTTTTTCCCTCTCATGGCTTTGACCTGGTTTTGAGTTACCCCCTTAGATGCCAACACATGGCATTTTTAACAGCAAGCTTTAGCACGTTAAAAGCTCAGCCATTGTCAGGCTTGGCTGGCAGAATCCTGGACAGCCACCAAGTGGTAGTTAAATTACTAACAGCAGCCCACTTAATCACACAACTAAAGATGGGGTCATTCTCACGGTGATGACAAACATCCATACCACCAGGGAAACTACTCCATTGGCACCCACATATAAAACTCAGTTACTACAATACTGAAAAAGGAGCAACTTTACTATCCATTTCTGATGTTTTAATCAGTAGGGTCATACTTCTGACACATGTGGCAGGTTTTACACTTCAGCCCTTTTCAGTTAACCTTGTGCGGTGCTTCTAATCTCCTCCGGGTTAATTAAGACCTTGGGTGGGACACCATGGCTACTGTGATGGCAGGAGAGGTCCACATGCCGCCAAGCCAGAGAAACAACAAGAGCGGCTGTCGGGTGAGGCTGTTTCCCCAAACTGAGGGAGGATCGAGCGCATTCATGCATCATTTAACAGGGGGACAGATTCAGTTACACAAGCCAGCCCACTTGTTCCAGCTTTCTGACCTACACATGTAGTCGTTAGTCTCCTACAGTGAGCCTCTGGAAGCAAAAGTAAGCCCTAACATTCAGAAAAACAAACACCACCATCACCTCACTCAACAAAAACATGCTAAAGACACCAAAACCTTACAGTGAGGCTAGTCTACTACTGTCCGCATTTCATTTCAAAACATGAGAAATCATCTCCAAGAAAATCATCCTTTAACTTGAGATAAACAGTCCTTCCCTCTCAAAAGGCTGACAAACACAGTATCAGATTAAATACCTACTCAGTTTTCAAGCATGAAGAACTCTAATAACTGGAATTCTCCTGAACAGTTCTTAATTATAGTTTATATTTTACACTCCACAAAAACTACAAGGGAAAAAAAATCAATTAACAGCACCCCAGCCTGCTTTTTAACCAAATACCTGTCTGTAATCTAAAAGCAATTCTGGGGACATCAAAATCACCACGTGATTTCGAAGCAGTACCAGTAACCTGGATAACAGATTTTTGCACAGACACCCCCAGAAAAGCAGAGCTGTCCTACCCTCTGCCTAAGCAGCTGAACTTACAGAAAGAACCAGATGAAAGCAATGAAGACATAATTATACTTTGTAAAATTAAGTTACTACCATTTCCTGGTTATGGTCCACCCTGGGGTGCATCGGGTATGCATTAGGACATCTGCTTTACAGTTACCCTCAATTTACACAAGACATAAAAATATAGGACAAATATTTTAAAATACATTTCAAATTATCAAGTGACAAAAAAGCCAACCTTTCCCATTTTAGCTTGACAGAGCAGTACATACGTTATTTCATTATAATTATATTATAATATATAATTATTATTGGCAATCTTAAGAGGCAGCCGAGACGCTCCGCTGCAGTGTCATTTAAGTAGGTGCGTAAATGAATTACCGTGGCAGGTCTCATGACTTGAAGATGAATAAACGACAATGTGGAGTTTCTCTCAGCCCAGTGCGTGCGTACCGACGCACGGCTCTCCTCCCATCCAAAGCTGCGATCTTTAGTTTCTCCCTCTGAACGGTGCCGGTGCCGGTGCACAAACGGCCGTGCAACCCACCCCGCACCGGCCGCTGTCCTGTGAGGAGACCGAGGCCTCTAGCGGCTCCATGGCCAGAATCCGTGCCTTAAAAAGGCGCAAAGGACATATCCGAACACCCCTCTACCAGCACTCCTCCATCATCGAGCCTCTGCAACCCCTCCAATCATCGCACGCTCTAATTATGCATGTATTTAATAAATATCAATGCAAATAATTTTTTTTTTCATCTGGTGAAAAGTTTGTCCGACATACTAATCCAAGTGCTGAGAATCGATGAAACTGGGAGCAACCAAACAGAGGGAGACTTCAGTTTTAAGATTTCCTCCTTAACATTGTCCCAGTGTACAATGAACCATGGTGGCCTCTCAAATGCATGCCGTTACCGGAGCCCAGAGAGCAGTTAAAGAGCGCTTTTAATTGCAATCTAATTAAGGTGTTTACCTGGCTAGCGACACACTGCAGCGTGCTCCTCTCTCAGCCTGTGTCCCCTCCTTCATTAGTTTTTTTTTCTCCGCGTGTGTCCACCGCCCTTCCCCTATTCCCCTATTCCCCCTTTTCCATATTTTTCCCACTTCTTTGTTAGTAAACACAGAACAGCTGCCCCGACAGATGAAGGGAAAAATGCATAATACTGAGAAGTTAAACCGCAAAATCCACTGAACAGTAATAAAAGATGTTTCTATCCCATGATTTACCAATGAGCGATTTACACTAGTTTAGGATTCTGCGTCTCCTGCAGCCTCTATTTTGCCCTCCTTTAGCTGTAAAGTTTAGAGCTAGGGGTACTAGCGCCAGAGGTTTGGGGGTATAATAATAGTAATAATAATAATTGATCGAAATAATAATTAATGATCGAAACGCCTTTAATATACTCCAAAAGTACGTCACACGCTTTAGAAGTTGGAAAGGTTGGCAGTTGAGATACTAAATCGTGGCTTGTTAAACGGTTATAAATTAAGTACGTTTTCCACTGTATGGGGTGTGCAGAAATTTAGCACCGTGTCTTTTGCTGGGTTGGTGGCTCTGCATCCTACTTGATCTTGATGTCCCAAGTTAGTACATTACTTTTTTGTTTTGCTTTTATTACAGTACATGGGACTTCAATTCTACGTGTCCCATGTGTTGCTGTACCTGCCCGTTACACTACGTTCACACAGCCGTCTCTGGAAAAGGTATCAACGGCTAAGAACACCTTTTACTCAGAAAATAACATGGATTTTAAAATGGAAACCTTACGTTCTGCAGCAGGTGAATCGTGAGCACCCATCAGGTCTGAATCAACGAAGCCTCGGCCCGTCCCGGTGGCTCCCACCGCCATCCTCTCAATGGGTCCCACCTGCGGGTTGCAGGTTCACGTGCTGCGGGAAATGACCGCAAAGCACGCTGCAGCTACGAGCGCCTGGGTTCGCTGTTTGGGAAAGAAATGCAGCACCAAAGAATCTGACGAGCACCTAGAAAAGGAGCCGTCAGCTACGTCGATAGGAGTGGACGTTTGGGAGGTGTGGAGATGTTAATTACCAACACAATGGTGTTAAGTGGGGCAGCCAACATGCGGCAGGCCTGCGTCATTTGTACTGGTGGGAAAAAAAATAAACCAGAGTTTCAGTTGCTGTTATTTATTTAGTACAACTAATAAACTAAGGAAACGCCACCATCGTAAGATAAGCGAAGTCTCAGCCTTTTAGTAAAACGGTCCGGCTGTTTTCAGGAGGCTCTCGTTGGTCACGGGGAACGTCTGCCGTGGTGGGAGGAGTCAGAGGCGCATGAAACGACGCATGACGCATGCACGTCACGATGCATTTTTTTTTTACCGCCGCAAGCCCTCTGCCACTTAACGGCGTTTTGATTTTATTGTAATTCATATCATTAGCAATTTATTTAAGTTAAAAGTATACCAGATTGGGCAATTGTTTATACTATTTTTTCCTGTTTGTATATTTTGATGGATTGAGGCTTAGTCACATAACTCACCTGTCGATAGTTCCGATAAGGTTGGCGTAGGGCTGTCCTTACTCCGCCAGTTTGAAATCCCGCGGTCACAGGTACAGTTTGCATTCTTATTACCGGTGATGTATACATTAATTTGCTCGTATTATACTCTAGCAAGTAAAAAATAAACTATGGTATCATTATTCTTTAATGAGTATTCGTTAGTCAGCATGCATTATTGGGAAACCGAGATTGCAACGGTTTGGGAAATTAGCGAACGATGTTGTGATTTTATTAACTGAATATTTTAAATTATTTTTGTATATTCTAATCTCAACAGACGATATTCTCTACAATTAATACATAAATCAGACTTGCTTGATTGTCTAAATGTTAATTTTGTGTTGTTTTTCTTTTTTTTTAACTGCTTCTACTTAGGATACGATGAGTGTGGAAGTGGAGAGGAAGTTTGTGTGTGATGCCAACATCCAGGACAAATTAAGAGAAATTGGAGGTGTGTCCAGGAGTCAGACTCTGGTAGAGTATTTCTGTGCAGAGATCTGAGAAACGGCATCATAAATGTCTCTTTCTGTGTAAGTCTGACTTGTCTTTCTCTGCAGCGGTGTGTGTTGGGCAGTGCCAGTTTGAAGATAAGTATTTTGATACCCCAGCCCATCACCTCACCCTCAGAGATGTCTGGCTGCGCTGCCGGCAGGGATCATGGGAACTCAAATGTCCGACGCAGGAAAGTGGGAACCCAGAACTGGGCCTGTGCTCTCGTTACAGAGAGATAACCAGCCTCCCTGAGATTATAGCTAAAGTAGAAGCAGTCATAAAAGAGAGTAGTGGAGATGAAAAGCATGATACTGAGCAGGCTGAAGAGCAGAAAAAAGCTGACAGACATGATCAGAGAGCAGCTACAGAGATGAAGCCTGGGAAAAAAGAATCGGGTGAAGGTGGTTTTCCGTCGTGGCTGGGCAAACTTAACCTGCTGCCGTTTGCTGTGTTCACCACCAACCGGTGTTCGTTCAGACTTGACGGGGACACCGACCTGGGGGGAGTGCGGGTGGATCTAGATCAAGCTGATTTTGGGTTTTGCATTGGAGAAATAGAAGTTCTGGTTCCGGACGGAGAAGAGATGCATTCTGCGCTGGAGAAGATTGAGAGGACTGCCCATAGGCTGGGTGAGACACAAAGAGCATTATCAGTGTCTTGTGTTGTGCTTTGGACTTTAATCTTATATAAGGTGCTTTCACACTGAAGTTCAGGAACCTGGTCCCTGGTTACAAGTCCCTGGGCTATCTCGACCAGGAACGTTTGTAGCTCCTGGTCATTTTCATGTGTCACTTCCACACCACACAACAAAACTGGGATGTTTATGCTAAATAAGCATGGGAGATTAAAAAAAGTTTGTAGGTTAAACTACACATATAATTTTACTTACATGACTAATGAATTTCATTAAATGTAATTGAGGTACAAAAATAATTCCATCTGCTCAATTTTTGCTCTATCTTTTTTTTTTGCAATTCTGGATAAGTTCCAGGTTAGCAGGGGTGTTTGTGGTCAACCAATCAGCAAGCTATGGCTGTAAGTGCCTCCCCAGAATGAAAAGTACCTGGTCTGTAGTAGGGACTATAAAATGGTTCCAGAACTTCCTCTGAGCAACTACAATCGGGCCAAGTTCCTGCAATGTGAACGCGACAAAAGTCCCTGGTTCGGGGAGAAAAGGTTAAGGTTCCAGAAAAAAAAGTTCTAGCCATATTAATGCACCTAGAGTTAAGACCAGTTTTTGACTGTTTCTTTTTGTAATGACAATTCATTTTATCTGTTTTTTAGTTGGCCTGTTAGTGTTTCAGTAATCCCTCTTTCTCCTTTTCTTTTCAAGGTCTGTCTGGTGATAAAAGAGTCCCAGGAAAAATGAATGTCTACTTGCAAAGATATTGCCCAGAACACTTCAAGGAATTATTCAATGCTAACATTTTGTGACAGAAACCTTACAATCTAGATAAGGTAAAACAAAATAGATTGGCTAGTTAGCCACATTCAAGGAAATATGTAGCAGATATTGGTAGTATTGATTTTACATTCATGAGCTTAACTACACAGTGCCACAAATGTGTGTTTAGCAGAAAAGGGAACTTGTGTAATCTGAAAAAAATTCTGAATATAATGTAATTGCTGAACATTTAAAAATAAATGTGTATATTCAGTGAGTACTTTAGTATGTACACTTGTGTGTTGCTCCAAAAAGCAAATAATGAAATTGCAACTTGATGCATACATCATGCAGACAGGATCAGAATGTTCACATATGGTTCAACACTGAAATATAAAGACTAAGATGTTTAATCTAAGTGATTCTAAATGTGGTGTAATTGTTGGTGTGAGATGTGGTGGTTCCAGCATCTCAGAAATAGTCACAAGACCAGGATTTTCACAGTCTGATGTTTACTGAGAATGGTGTAATAAAGAAAACATCTTCTTGGCAGCTGGTTCTGGAGGCAAAAGGAGGTCCTTCTGTGGTCTTTATATTAGATGGTGTAGCAATATGATTTTCTGAGGACACTCTGGGAAGTCACTGCTTTATTTGTAAATCTGAATAAAATTTAAACAGAATACAGCAGAGTCATGGGCTGTGTGATATGAGAGCCTGTGTATTAAAACCCAAAGTATCTAGTTACCCAGACAGTGGCTAACAAGCTACCTGCTGGTTATGGTTTCACTCTGGGTCTGTGCTTGTCTGTGTGATTGTGTGTGTGTTAGTAGATGAGAGCCTTGCAGTCTCCTCTTGGCTTCTTAATCTTGTCATAGTTCTTGTTGATGATGTCATACAACACGGCCTGGGGGTAGTAAAGGCGACAAAATCAGTTGTGGTTTACAGATACACCAGTTAGTTTACAAATTACACTGCAGGAAAGTCCCATCTTTAATAATCTGTTAGACCCTTGACATCTCTAACATTGGCAGCACTGGTCTAAAGTGAGAGAGAGAGGTGAAGACTTACATAAGTGTTTCGGATCTCCAGAACCACAACGCGCAGCTCACAGTACTGATGCTGGTCCAGCTCGTGCACCAGTTGACGGTAATCACCCTAAAATCAAACAACGGTATAACTCTCAGGCACAACACAAGTGCAAACATACAAGTACTAGAGCTAAAATGATGTCAACATGTTGTATCTTTAGCATGGATATGTTTTAGCACAGGGGTGTCCTAGAGAGACCCAGTCCTGCACAGCTTAGTTCTCTCCCTGTTCCATCACACCTGATTCAACTGAAGAAATGGGTGGCAATTAGCAGAGAAGTAGAATCTTGTGTCTTAAATGAGAGGGAACCCAAAGATGTGCAGGGTGGGTCTCCAGACCTGGGGCTAGCGAGCCCTGTTTTACACCAGCATTACAATACTGTCGTTATACATGATCACTCGTATTATACTCTCCGTAAAGTTGATATTTGCACCGCTGAAGGGCTGTTTGGTACTAACCACATGAGGCTGTTTGGAGGCTTTGGCCACAGCGTCCCCTCGTTCACTGTAATACCTGACAACAAAGCCAGAATGCGTTGTGACAGCAGACACGGAAATGCCAGAAAGCAGCTCTGTACAGCAGATCGCTTCCCTGAGTGCTTTTCTGCATACTTAGTGTCAGTGTCGGACTTTACATGGTATTTCACTGCAATCATTGCCTCAGTCTTACTTTGAGATCTGCGTCTGAAATCCCTCTATTTTCGTGCGAGTGTTGGTCAGCAGTTCAAACACTTTCTCCTGTAATGCAATGGTTGACAGAAACACAAACTTTTTAAAATTGCTCTACCATTTGGGCTGTGATTTCCTACTTACAAAGTCATTAATATGTATCAATACTTCAATATCTCTAAACTCAGTAAAATACTTGGCATTTTATATAGAGTAATAAATAAATACCAAACAAGACTGACCTGCACAGCAACACCAAAATTATTCCCATCTTCAATCTTGGGAATCTGAAGTTGGATCCACATTGACACCTGAAACAAACAGGAAAACAAGTTTGGCATAAGAACAGTTAAGTCTTCAAGTTTGGCTGCCTGTCCAAGGTCGTGCTGCACTGCCCGTGTTTCATGTGCTGCTCACTGCCCATGTGGCAGCCGAGGGCAAACTCACAATGTTCAGCTTCTCCTTCAGCGTCTGGATGTGCGGCTTCACTTCCTTCAGCAGATGCTCCACTCTCTCGTTAGTGGCGATTGGGCCACAGGATGGACCTGCCAGGCAACATGGGACCCAGCGATGAGGTCAGGTGGGAAAACACAAGAACGTGAACTACTACCGGGGCAACGTGAGACAGCTAAGGGGTAAAGGTACTTCACACTGGGACTACACCAGTACACACAACAGAATTCCAGTGCCCGCCTTTCCGTTTCTCGAGCGGTCATATACCCTAATACTCCTCCTCATTTTACACATTGAGCATTCATAAGCAAACAAATCCAAATGTTCTGAAGAACTACCTAAAATAAGAATTTATCCCAGACAGCACAGGACAGAAGGCTGGAGTTCACCATGGATGGGCTGCCAGTCCATCACAGGGCACATATAAGCACAAAGACACCATCATACACCATGGGTGACTTAGATATGCCAGTTACCCTAAGTGCCATGTCCTGTGGTTACCTATGGCCATTAAAGCTGCACACACACTTGTGAAGTAACTGACATCAACTGAACCACTGCAATACCCACTATTTATAATGAATAAGGATTATAATGATTTTTTTTACCTTCCTCCTCCTCCTCTTTGTCTTTGTCTTTATCCTTTTCTTTCTTCCCTTCCTTGGCTTCTCTCTTGGAATAAAAAGTGAATGATGATCAGAATTAAAATGGCACTAATATAAGTTTCTCCTCAGTCTCTGGTAGCCTTCTTGATTGGAGGGAGCAATATGGCAAAAAATATCATATATCAAGATTTTTTTCAGGCAGGATCGCGATCCACAATCTTACCATGATTCTTTTCCATGTTAGTTTTTAAGACTATCTTGCAAGTTACTGCACGGTACAACCAAACTAATTCTTCTATTTTAAAATAGCTGTGGTTTCTGCCATATCAGTTTTGAAAAATCCATACAAGTTCCATATTACCAATGCCAAATTATTTTTAGGGACCAGCTCCTCCATGTCATCCATGCCACTACGTTGCCAAATAGGGAATGTGTAGCATGTTGTGCATTACATGGTAGGACAATGTTGCGAAAGGGAGAAAGGATGAAATCCAAGGCACTACTTACTGTTTGCTATTACCGGTTTACTAGTATGTCGAAATGGATTTGGCTGATAAACAACTTTAGCTGCATGTATGAGCCATAGAACCGCCACTGATAGAATGTGCACTTTTGAGCAATATTAACGATCTTGCAGTAAAGGCAGATCATGGAGACTTTTTAATCATTCACAATATTGTCAAATCACACACCCCTACTTCCTGCTATATTGTATTAAGTGTCTCTGAACACCTACGCATACAATTATCCAGTCATGGATGGGTAAAGCTATATCTGAAAATGTTATTTTCCCTGAAATGACGTGAACCTTCTGGATCTTTAGTTGTGCACCACTTGAACTGATGGTCCTTTGATGAAGATATTTTAAGCACATCACAACCATGTTAATGTGGTGCTAATGTCAACACAACGCACCTCCTCCTTCTTCTTCCTCTTCAGCTCCTCTTTTTCGGGGTCAGGAATGGGGATGTCCAGGGGTGCCATCAGGGATGAGAGGTCCTCTGCAGAAACACCCAGGGACGCCTCAAGGGGCACAGAAGATGGGTTACAAGAAGGTGACACAACACAACATGCCAAAAAGAACAGCCTGTCACGATTATCCAACCCTCCCTCTACCTACCTGAAGCAGAGTCTCCATCTCCGCGATTTTCTGGGGGAAAAATGTGGAGACTAGCGACTCTGCCTGGGAAGCAGAAAGAACAGCAAAGAAAATTATGGTTATAGATGGCAAAGTCACCTGATTTCCCAGTAAACTGAAAATAGCAGGAAAAGTCACCTCTTTAGTGAGCTGCTTGCAGAAGTCTTCAACCTGAATAATCATGAAACAGAAAAATAAAGCTTGTGCTGCACACACCAGACACACGCCAGTTGCAGTTTGTTCTTGAACTCAACCCAATCTGTAGATCGTCCGTTTATCATGACAAAATAAACACCATTATATCAATTGCGTATTTCCAAGCCCTCGGTACTGCTGTATTATTCGCTTTTATCTTATCAACAAAGTCTCCAAAATGTTTACCTGTTCAAAGTAAGGCGAACTAAATAAACAGTATAGCCCATTCATACCTAGCTGTTGACTGCAAAAAACAGTCATCGTCGCCTGAATTTTTCCTTTCGTTTTGGTTTCTTCGTAAATATTATTCAATAAAGACCCGAAATACTGATTGCAAAACGTAAATATCGCAGTAAAATGAATTACTGTGAATCATGTGCTGTAAAGAGAGAAGCTTACCTGTTTCTGCGACTCGGGGCGGATGTCTAAGGAAGTCATCGTGTAAACTCGGTTATGTAGATATTTACACCCCTATAATAACCTAAATGAAATTATTATCTGTTAGGGTAAATTATCCAGCTAACGTGGACATTTAATAGCCTCTCTTTTGTGTTTTTAGAGTCCGATCGTCTTGACGAATGTAAGTCACAGTTAGTCAGCACAAAAAGTGAAAATGAAAGTTAAATAACGAACTATATTTCCTTCATTCGGGGCTTTCCGATTCTCTCCAGCACAGTCCTCCGGTCTACTGTGGGAAGTGTAGTTTTAACTATAACCTTGTCCACTAGACGAAAATTAAAAGGGATTAGTGATTTGAGTTCCAGTACGGATCATTATGATGGAAATCCACTTGCTGCTTATAGCTTCGAACCCTATACGGTGAAACTGCGCAGGAATTCATCGTCATATCACCGGCTGTATCTCCACCGTGAAAGTATATAATTCCAAAAATGTTTCAAAATCGATTCAAACTTTTTTCATTAAACAATCGGCAGAACGTGTCAACAGCAGCATCTTTTTCGGTAAGGAGGTGTATATGTGTATTACGAAGCACAAAGCTTTTCAAAATTTAAATGTAGAATTTGGATATATGCAATTTAGGGCAGCATAACGCTTTACAGAAGAAGCAAGCCTAACCACCACAAACAGAAAGAGGTTGTTTATGTCTTTTCTAATTAGTTTACTGCATACTGGGACCAGAATGGAGTCCATCCATGCAGACAGGTAAAACCCACCACAAACACGAGCACATCATTTGATCTCCCACCTCCCCAACTCTAACTCAGCTGTGCACAATTAAAGCCCAGTGTATGAACTACTGGCAATCACCTCATTAACTCCAAACCACATCATCAAGCAGATAGTGTCAGTGTTGGTAGAGCTAATGTCTGGGTGCTGCACTTTGTGTGTATTTGGGGGGGGGGGGTTCTCTGATACTCTCTCACAGAGTCATGAAGGAAATAATGAATAAAGTACAACAGAAATTTATTCAGGTTCACATTACATTTACAGGCCAACAGTCTACTGAGCACAGTAAAACAAAAAAATATACATTTTAAATGTTTATTGCTAGAACCCAAATTGTCCTCTGGTTAAAATCTACTTCGTCACTCCCTAGAATTCAGTCACACTTATTTGTGCATAATGATGTCTGCTTCAAAATCGAGAGAGGGAGAGATCCGCCAGCACACAACAGCATCACACAGCAACCTCCTCGTCTGCCTCACATGTTATTTGCCTTTCCTGAACTTCCCAGGAGTTGCACTTGTCTTCTGTTTCTTCTTGGCCGATCCCTTGGCCTCTGGTTCCTGAGGCAGGGAAATGGAATGCAGAATGTTAAAAAAAAACATGTATGTAGAGAAGCACACGGAGACAGATACTGCGCCAGGGATGCGGGCTGTTACCTTGCGTTTGGATGATAGGGAGCCAGTCACCGTGAAGAAGGTGTCCAACCTGCCCTGAGTGCTGCCCTGCCTGCTCTTCATGATCTTCTTACAGCCGTTGCGGATGCGGTCCTCACTGTTCAGATCAGACGGACACAAAAGTCACCAGAAAGTAAAAAAAAGTCATCTCGGTGAGCTTTGCTGCGTTTAAATGCAGCGGACATGAAACATGAAGCGTTTGCACAACACATGAAAGAAGAGAAGGAAAATAAAAGGAACCAGTCTGAGGTCATGAGATACACAGTGTGTGCAGAAAAAAAGATAAGACATTGTCACAAATTAACATACATTATTCGATCATGTAATATCTCTCTGTTCAGTCATGTAAATGGACCACTTTCCCCACCTTTCCTCCCCCAGCTCTTTTTGAAGCCTAAAAGAATAAGTCATCTGCTCAAGGAGGTGTAGCTGTTTCACAATACCGATAAAGACCCCCAGAGTAGGGATATCTTTCTGAAGCCAATACTTTGTAATTGCCTTTTTGCTCGCTACCAACAGAATCTTTAGGAGGTACTCATCATCATCATCATCACCTAGTCCCTCGGGGGGGCTTCTCAGGTATAGAGATGTGAATGTGATGTCAACACTAAAGCCCAACACCTTTGCAATAATTGCTACAACCTCCCAAAAATTCTGAATAAGAAGACACAGCCACAACACATGGGCGTGATCAACTAAAAGTTTCTCCACATTCCCTCCAGCACCATAATTGCATATTTGTTTGTTTGCCTTTTTGTTTTGGGGTAATAAAAAATCTTGTTTTTCCAGCAAAAGTCTCTCCAAACCAGAGAGATGATGGTGGTGGATGACTGTGTTATCCAAGCGTTCATCCATGTGTCCTCAGATATTTCAATGTCCAGGTCTTTTTCCCAGCATTTCTTCACATAGGCAGTAGTGTGCTTATTTAATGAAAATATACCATTGTACAGCCTGCCTATAAGTCCTTTAGTACTGCTGGACCTGTATGCATCGACAAACAGCTGGACAACAATTGGCAGTTCTTTCTGGTCAGTCTTTAACCTCAACATAATCACGGAGCTGTAAATATCTGAATAAGTCCTGTTTACTAAGCCCATAAGTCTGACACAGGTGGTCAAAGCTGACCAGTCTCCAGTTTTTAACTTTTACATAAAGAAGTAATGCCAGCGAAAGCCCACTGTCTGTATCTAAAATCATACAGTGCCGGCTTAAAGTCAGGGTCATATGTTGGCCATTTGAGCAATTCTATCGGTTTCTGAAGCTGAAAACTTTGAACAACCTCTAGCCACATTTTCAAAGAAATTCACCCATTGACTGTCTGTCCGTGGTATTCCCTGTTTCCCATCAATACGCCCTATGAATGACTGGATTGGTATGTCTGTTAGAGGACTCTATTGTCTTCCATTTAGCTTCATAAGAATGATCACACCAGTATACCAGGGGTCTCAGCCGGGCTGATATATAATAGTCCTTTAGCGATGGGAGGGCCATGCCTCCCTTTTCCTTTGGTAACTGAAGTGTGGAGAATCTTTCCCTAGGTCTCTTATTATTCCATATAAACTGTGAAATATGCATATTCCATTCCCTAAAGAGTTTTGAGGAAATTTCTATGGGGAGAGATGAGAACAAGTACAGCAATCTAGGGAGGATATTCATCTTAACTGATCTGATTCTGTCACCCAAGTCAAGAGGAAGGAGACTCCATCTTCTTAGATCCTCATATATATATATTTTTTTTTATTAACCCAGCTGTAATTAGTATCAAATAATTGTGATTCATCTTTAGTCAAATAAACTCCTAAATATTTATTTTTTTTTGAGTACCAATTGAAATTATACCTGGAGATAAATTCCTGTGTCGGTGTGTAATTGAATGTCATAACCTGGGATTTGCTCACATTAAGAACGTACCCCAAGAATGTTCCATATACTTCCAACATGTTCATTAAGACAGGGAGGCAAGAGTCTGGATTCATTATTGTAACAAAAACATTATCTGCATGCAGACTAACTTTATATTCATCTTCACCAATAGTTATACCTGTAGGTTTTGTCTCCTGTCTTATTGCCTAAGCCAAAGGTTCCATAAATAGGTTAAAGAGGCTGGGGCTTGCAGGACAACCCTGCCTGCATCCCCGCTCTAAGGTAATAGCATCAGAGAGGCTACCATTAACCTTTATGGACATGAAACATTTGTTAACATACCACATATGAACCCTTCAGAAGAACAGAGTGACACACCTGAACTGCTTGTCAGCACACATGAACTGGACCAGCCCATCTTCATCTGGTTCATTCCACTTCAACTCTACAGAACTGCAGTCGATCACCTCCGGGTCCAGGAACAGTCCACGGGCCTCTTTGTACAGCCAATCCTCTGGCACAGGGTGTTTCTGGAGCCGGGGGGCATACTTTCAGTATTTATAAATAATGACATGGTAAGACCTCAAAACACAAAGACAGCAGTAACAGATTACCTACAAATTATAAAATTTTAAATAAGGTGTTTTACATTGGCTTTAGTTAAAGACACCAGAACCTCCTCTAACTTAACCTTAATAAAAACATCCTGCAAAGTACTGATTGGGAGCAGACACTGTCCATCACTCCAGTTTGCGTATCCTAGAAATTCAGGCTGATCAGGGGAAACTCTGTACATTAGAGAAGCCAAACTACAAAGGCTCACAGCCAGATCAATGTTGTCCAAGATCTCCTCAATTGAACTGTGTTGTCTAATGAGGTCCATGGCCCTTTTGGGCCCGATCCCCTTAATGGTGCCGCAGTAGTCACAGCCAAGCAGGATGCACAGGTCCACAAACTGAAGGGGAAGAAGTCAACCAAAGCATAATAAGTGACAAGGGTCACATGACCTGTCAGGTGCCAAAGAGAGCAGAGGACCAGGGACAATGCGGATATACCTGCTGGTGTGTCAGACCCATGTCCTGCAGAACACGGCTGAAGTGGAATTCCTGAATGGGCAGTTTCCTGCATACAGACAGATGGGGACATTACCGACGGCATCAGCAGAACGGTGTGGTCAGCAGAATTAAGCCGCTGTTGTTCACAGATTCAAGCTTTTACTTTGCTTCACTGGCGGTAAGATGTCTAAGCAGGACGTTCGTGCCAAACGTCAGGCCGTCCATATCCTCGGTCGCCGTTGCAAAGACCTTCCCTGCCTTCACCAGTGCGGCACAGCTGGCCTCTGCTTCACAGGGAGCCTGGGGAAAGAAGGCACTGCAACTCAAACTCAAAATGGCGGAGGAAAAGGCACGAGCGGAAGGGTTTGCGGAGCGTCAGATGGGACCAGGGGGCAGTCGCACCTCAATGTAGGGCACACCCATGAGCTTCAGCAGCTTCTTGCATTCATCATTGTGCTGGCTGGTGACCTTCACCAAGCGCTTTGTGAACTTCTCAATGTTCTCCTGTTCTCCTGCCAGGCAGCACAGCAGAGCAGCCAGTCAGGCGCTGAGTAACAAGCGATCAAGGCACATCCCCAGCTTGGTGTGGCTGTTACCTGCTTCCTGTGCCTGGGCCAAAAGTTTCTCTGCCTCAGCCCGCCTCTCTCCTCTCTTTGTCAGCTGAGGAAGAGTCACAGAGACACTGTCATATGGGCAGGTTCTGCCCAGCATGGAATTCAGTCAGCCTGAGATGCATCCCACGTGGAGGGAGATAATTTCCAAATCACTCCATGTGAATACAGTACTGTGCAAAAGTATTCAGCAGCAAAAGAAAATGATGCTTAAATGATCTTTATGTTGGTTTAAAACTATGATATTATGCCAGCCAAAGTGTGTTTGCTTAGCCATTTCAAAACCTCTGCTAAACCCAATTATTTCCAGCAACCATAAAATACACCCACATATTTTTGACTTGACCACTATATACTAACTAATTAAGTTAATTAATAAGTGAGCTGGTAGTAAAATTTTACAAAATACATGGAATGGCTGAGGTGCTGTTAGAGTGGAAAATGTATTACTTTTATCATATTAATTATGTGTGTTAGCATTGTGTAATATATATGTATCATCCCCTGCGTATAGAGACAGGGCAGAACGAAGTGGTCCCTAGACGCCGAGGGATGAGAGAACAGGAACTATAACTCTGGGTGGGGAATAGGCTTGTCAACATGGCCAAGGAGGCCTACCCTGGGTTTTGTAGCGTTTCCTGATAAACCTTTGTCTGAAAGGTTACTAACAGTATTAACAGTTTAAACTACGCCCCATGTAAGCCCCTCCCGCCAAGTATAAATAAAGAAGCCAAGGGACTGCCCGGTGTGACACTGAACTGAGGCGCAGATACTGTCTGTTGCATCTAAGTGAGTGGGCACCCTTGCGCAAGTAAAAGATAAGAAGTGTGCTGTCTCATAATTCCTGAGTCCGAGAAGTGTATGTGTGGAGTGGTAAGCGACAGCGCTTCCTCCACATAGGTAAAGGTGAGAGGGGGTCAAAGCTACGGCGCTTTCCTCCCCTCCCAACAGGTGCACCTGGAGAGAAGTTTGGGAACTGAAGCGGTGTTCATCTAGCCAGTTTTGCGTTACTCTTGATATCCATATGTTATAATGTTAAATTATTTTTTTGTTCTGAGCAAATGTGCACTTACTACCCATATGAACAGCTTTAAACATTTCTTTTGACTGTCTCAGACTTTTGCACAGACAGCACACGTACATCCCAGTCTGTTAAAAACAAACCCGAAAAAAAAAATTAAGATATGATAGACCAGTGAGTCTAAAATAAAATGGACGGATGGGTAGACACACAGATGTACCTCGCCGGACTTGAGCTGTGGAGGCTTTCCGTCAAACACGTACACCGGCTTGATTCCGCTTTCTAACATACGGATGGTCCTATAGAACATGCCCATCAGGTGACTGAAAAAGAGATGGAAGGTCAGCTTTCATAGGACACATTGCAACAAGGACCCTGCCTTTAACAGCTGTACTTCAGGGGAACCTGGGAATACGGACAGCATACCTCGTCGTTTCCCCATCCTCGTTCTGTAGCACGTTTCCATCCTGTCTGACCGCGATTAGGAACTGATAAATACTCATGGATGCATCTATGGCGATCTTCCGCCCTAAGCGAATGAGAGGAAGAAACGTCTGTTAAAAGCAAGGAAAGACATGACGACGTGGTGAGAAATGCAACTTTTGAGCGATGGAAACGGAGGAAGTCACCGAAGTAGCTTTTGATGTCATGCTCTTTAATTGCAGAAGGTGCCTGATCGGCGATGAGCTTCGCAAGACCGTGAATTCCCATGGTGACAGCAGACTGTGTATATGAGAGGACGAGCTTAAAAGTCTCGGAAGACACAAACAGAGAGAGACACAGACAGACATGCATGTAAACACTGCATGGTTACTTAAAGAGGCCAAACGGCTGGTAAACGATTCCGCATGTTTTAATATCTGATATCGTGTAACCAAAATAAAAAGAGCTTGTTAAAATACGAAAACCCAGGCGGCCGAAAAAATAAACACCGCTACAACCCCCAGAAAAGCATAAATATACTGGATTCCTGCACAGCCGAACCGCCCAAACGTACCCATCACTTACAGCCTAGACAAAGCAGCAAATGCAGCGCGCAAAGAAACAGGACTCACCGACAGCCGCCGAACCAGAACCACAATATCTATAGCGCGCTACTTCTCGCGCCCTTTCCCGCGAAATTTCACATCCAGGCATAGTTGCCGATGTCAGATCTCAGGCGCCGCAATCGATTGCAGACTCCAACTGATCCGTGGTGCCAGTGACACGTAAATGAAATGACTCGTTCCTTGTTTATTTCAGTTCTTTCCACCCGGGTGTGTCTTCAACATTCATTCCCGGCATTGAACAGTGGTGGTGCCAGGGTCAGGCTAGTGATGCTTAAGCCTCGAATATTTTGTCATGTTTTGTTAGTTATATGGATAACGTAACTCCCATAAAACACTAATTTCAGAGCCGCAGTGGACACAGAACTGATTTATCTTGATCAGAATTTAAATCTTGAACACGGATTCATCGACGGGGCTCTCGATCTTCAGATATCCCCGTAACCATACTTGTATGTCTGAGAGGTTCAGTTCCATTCTAAGCTATGTTTGTAGTGTTTTATAGGAAATACGGTACCAGAAATGCCAGTAAAAGCATATCCTTTATAGGAGCAATACGGCACAACGTAATCAAACTTATAGGATGCTGGATCGTCACCTGTAAAGTACGGGTGTCTCGCATATTGTATTTCGCATTAGCTTTGAACCTTTACATGAAATTGTTTAACCCTCCAAATACTAGGACCTTTAGCACAGCTGAGGCAGAACACATGAACTGAACCTAATGCATGGAAACCGCTTCCCCCCTTTCTACCTGTAGGGGGGGCTGTAGACGTTCTTGGCAGTCTGGTCTTCAATACTGCAGTTGAAGGCTGTGCCTCTGGAGGGAGTGTTGGGGAGGTTTCTACCATGTGTAGAAATCCTGGAACTGCACTAGCTATGGATTTCACATTGGTCATATAATGAATTTCCTCCCATGGCCAGATGAACATGTACCATATGACTGGAAGTGACCTACAGGATATTCCTATTAAGCAGCACTTCTATTTAACAGGACCACAACAGCATGCAACTGCTGCAATCACTTTATTTCCACTCCGCAGGATTTCAAAGCAGAGCAAAGATCCCCTTTCACCACTTAACCCCATAATAGGACCAGAAACAGAACTCCAACTGCATTAAAATTGCCAGATAAAACTGGTATTGACCCTTCAGGCTGGAGGTAAATTAAAAAAAATGAAGCCAGTGTGTGTTATTTACATATTTACAGTAGGAATGCCGCAACTTCCTATGAAATGACATTTATCCCAGAAGCAGAACATCTACATTGTGCATTAATCAAAACAGCAAGGCAAAAGTGACAGATTCTGTAAGGAAACTGCAGCAACACATTCCAAAACAGTACAGTTCAGAGCAGATTTAACAGCATTAAAGATGGGAGCCTGCAGTTACAGAGTACAGCTGTGTACAAAATAGACTCACCAGCTTAGGACAGTTACGCTACTACCCCCCGCCCAAAAAAAAATAATAAAATTGGGGTACTGACCCACTAAAGACAAGCTATTTATTGTAAATTCAATTCATTGCCTGAAACAAACATGGCAGTCTTCAAGATGAGAGTTTAGGAGACTGTGTATATACAAAGTTAAAAGCATAAAATTTTGCGTATATAAAACAGCCACACAGTATTGGAAGCTACGTGGCCCACTGGGTGGCGTTCTGTACCATCACCACACCCGTGGGACGGTCTATCACACCGGCACCACCATCATCATCACCACTACCACCACCACAATTAGCAATGCCGCCATAGCCAGCAGAGCTTTGCTCATAATGGCCAGTTGGGGGCAGACTCCAGTTACCAGGCGCTCGAGTGGGAGGCCTGGGTGGCGTGACCGGCTGAGGGTAGCTGCTGTAGTAGCCAGACGACTGTGGAGGGCTTCTGGTGAACGTGTTCTCCCTGAACGGAGCCACCGAGTAATGATCCGGCATGAACTGTGGGTAGATGGAAGATACTTAGATCTGCAGACTGAGGAATCTGCACCTGTACCATCCTGCCTTTAAGACAACATCCAGACTAGGGATGCAGCTCCTGGGAGGATGGACTCACTATGTGCCCAGTAAGACTTCCTCTGAGCCACTGGAGGACAGAAGCGGGTTTTCGCCGGGCAGAAAATGCAAAGAACTTACCTGCGAGTGATGGGGGACGCCAGCGTAGCCAGTATTAGGGAACCTCTCAGAGGCCCAGCCGTTCTCCTTCTGGTGTCTCTTCAGCTTCATCCTACGATTCTGGAACCACGTCTTTACCTGAGAACCACGGCAAGTAGAGTTGAAAACACAGTAACCCTGAGACATGCCATCTTCACGGGAAAAGGGAAGGCCTCTCACGACAGAGTCTACAGTGGAGAGTCTCACCTGCTTGTAGGTTAGACCTGTGAGGCCTGCAAGAGTCTTCATCTCCACAGGGGTGAGGTACCTCTGCATGTTGAACCGATGGGTGAGGGCACTCATTTGGCCTTCCGAGAAGGCAGTCCGTGCCTTGGCCTTTTTGGGCTGTGTCGCAGTCTCTTGTGTAGCTGGAGATGGTGTGCAGGGTGGCCCATGCTCTTCAAGACTGGAACCGAGCATTGTTGGCTCATCTGTAGCCAAGGAGCTGGACACTGGCTCACTGCTGTCGGGGCTCCCACTCTCCTGGTACTCCTGTGGGCTTCTCTCCACCCAGGGGGTAGCAGGGGCCTTAGGAACACAGCCATCGCTACTGCTAGCAGAGCTCCACGAGTCTAAATGGGGATTTGGACATTCAGACACCCATACAAGTAAGCTCACCATATAAAACCAGCATGGCCAGGATAGTGACTTGGTGCATCCGCTACACATGGACCAGATACGTGATTAACATTACACGCACTTGGATTAACAGTTTTACCTGGCGTGTGGGCCTCGGAATCGCTGGCAGCATCGCCGCGGGCGCCCTGACCTTCCTTCCCCGGTTGCTCGGGCTGACCAGAGCTGGGCGGAAAGAAAAATCTACCCCTCTGGCTTTGGGTGTCTGCGAAACACAACACCGGACCGCGGAAATCGCCCGGGTTCGTCTCGCCGTCCACGGGGCTTTTCGGCGAAGATGCAGCGTAGTAGCCTCCGCCATGGTTGAACGCCGCCTCCGCCCAGCCTAGCCCGGCGGCGCCTTGGTCCGGCCCGGGCTGGTACACCAGCCCATAAGCGTATGCGTGGAAGGATGGGTTATAGCTGTAGCTCATGGGCAGCTTCCAATCTGCCATTGTACCAAAACCCGGTCAAAACGTTAACCGCAAACCGCTTCACGGTCTACCCTTCCCCAGACAGAATCCTAGTGTCGAGCGTCCCAAAGGTGCGCTGGGCCCGCTGCGATCCCATATATAGGGTCAGGTTTGGGGAGTGGGGTGTGACCGCGCGCCGAGCCGCTCGCCTATCGGCCACGTGCGCCCCCTGTCGCCGCACCACGCCCAGCCACCTCGCGGAAACGCCCAGCGGCCACGCCTCCTTCAGGTGCGCGACACAGCAAACATTTATCTGGTGTTTATTACGATAAAGATTCCCAAAGATGTTCGGAATAGGACTGGTGCCTAATTTAGGGGATAAACGAGGCAGTAAACATAATGCAAGTAAAAGCACGAATGCAAACAGCAAACATCTTCTTCTAATGATTTATGTCATCTACAACCCCAAACCTGCAGTACTGATAAAACAGTTGGAAGAACATGCATGGATTAGGTGCAATTTAGTGTTATATACAGTATTTTATGACCATAATTTATATAGCTATATTGTTTGTACGTATTTAACTCTTTGTTTCTACTGATTCAAATATATTGTGACCTTTAGCCGTAGTGACATATTTTCAGACTTATTTCGACTCTAGTGTAACGGTGTTTCCAGCACACCCCGTATTCAGTTTGCTTATCGTCAACTAATTTTTGAAGTAGCACATCAGCCGGTCTCTGTAATCCCCCTTTAGTGCTATAGCTGTCGTGCAATCTATATAGACACAATAATGTCGCACTAATTGAATCCTATTTGAAACACTCGTAATGACCGTTTTAATCAAACACCCCTTTACTTTCCGATTTAGAGTCAAGAGCATCAAAATTGGAATTGCAAGCATGATCTAGGTTTGTCCAAAATTACCATGCAAATAGTTTGCCTTTAGTTATAGCTCCCCGACTGCATTAAGATGCTAATCGGTCAGTTACAGATAAAAATATGTGATAATGACAGACTGCAGTACATTAGCATTATCGCTCACCTGAAGGTGGGGACATTTAAAACTTGCCTAGTAACCATTCAACCAGTCAAGACAAGTGGGACCTTATTCTTATACAGATAAAACAGTCCACACTGGCACAAAATAACGCTCCCCTGCACTGTGGTGCTACATATATAACCCTACATAAGGTGCAGAAATAGACGGGATAAAAAAAAATCGAGGTAAAACGACATTAACGCGCAGGGCACATGTAAACAATGTTAAGATGGTTAGAATTTAGGCGACGATGGAAGCAGAAGGGTTACTCATAAATAGCGTGAAGGAATGAATGACAGACAAACAAATGAATAAATACCAGAGCGATCTCACATCTAAGCACAGATGCTGTATACATACGTACATGAATAGAGACACAAGAAAATCATTGCAACCAGTTGCTCGTGTGAAGCTAGCTCCTTCAGGTGCACACACACATACGATGTAGGTAACATGCAATATGAAGCTGCAGTAATTCTTTGGAATGCCTCTTGTGTGAATTTATTTGGTAATGCTGATTGTTGTTCTGCTAATATTTTGTATTTTTCACGTTTGCTGTTGTTCCGCCTCTAGAACAGGATTTAATAAACCTATATGTGACAAAAACAGAACTAACAAAAGTCGTCTGTTCCATTCATCTGTTTCTGAGAAAACTGTGCAAATTCATGTTATGCTAAATTGCAATATTTGCGTAACCTGATATCATTTTTATCTCGTGTTATTTTGTTCGTAAGAGATTTTACATGCTGTTTTAATTGATCACATTATGTCGCGGTTCATGTGGAAGTTGGATCTGTCGGCACAAACGGGTGAAAGATAAGTCTACGCTTTACTTGTTTTGATTGTCGTGGTCTTTTGTTATTCAGAGGGGGCGTGAGTGGCGCTGATTTTTGGTGCAAATAGTCCATTATCGCCTCTAACTCTCCGCATAGAAGCTGAAGCATTTGTGTCGACTGAAGCTACATGAAAAATCCACTAGCTAAACATGTATTTTTGCATTTATTTTATTGGTAACACTTTACTTGACGGGACACAAAAACTTAGTAATAACTTAGTTACTACTGAAGTACAAATTCTGAACAAATCGTGAACAAATATAGTTGCTACTTGAGATACAATTGAGCGTTACGATTTCTTAATGAACAAACACGAGATCAGTATTTCACGTTTTATTCGTTACTTTTTCCTTCAGTAGTTCCTTAATTAGTAGCTTCTTCAGTAGTTCACAAAGGTTTACAGAATTAACAGATATGGTAACAAATATAGTAACTGCTTGAGATAAAACATGCGTCGCGGTTTATAAATGATGAATTCACATGAGGTCAGTATGTAACTAAGATTTAGTTTGTGGTTAATTAATTCGTAAGTAATAGTATAGTACTATATTATTTGTGCCCCAAGTGTTATTTTACTTAGCAATGCGACGTACAATTAAGTCAGAGAAATAGCATATTAAATAAATTAAATACATTTTTGATAGTTCCAAGTTGCATCATAAGTTTCGTGCACAAAATGGTATAAAACTATTTCTGACGTCCATCACTGATCATTATTTCTAACTTTAATTCCAGGGAATGATCGTGATTTATAACCTCCGCTCCGGCAGGTGTCGCTGATACTCCGGGTGCAGCGGCACTGTACCGCTCCTCGCTGTCCGCGGATCCCGTCTCTGCACGCCGGAGCGCTTGCCCAGCGTGTTAAACTGTCAGGCACCACAGGGGCTGTGAGAAGCGCAGCAGTATGACGGAGGAGCTTGAGGCGATCCTGTCCCGGCTTGCGGAGCCCGACAGCAGCGCCGTGCAGCAGGTGGGCATAGACTGGGGATTCGGGCTGAGCCGGGCTACCCGGGCGAGTTCACCACAACCTTTTTACCCTGCAAACTGGTCTCTTCGGTGTGCTTGTCTCCGGTTTTAGTTGGGTTGGTAATAATGTATGATTACTGTAACTGCAGTCAGGACTGGGTTCCAGCGTGTCGGTGTGTGCCCGCGCGCTTTTGCATTTCGCGTGTACATACGGTATATTTCTGTATATTAATATATGAGCAGACGAAGCTGTATTTTTCTCCTTCAGGCTACAGCACAGCTGAAGGTGGCTTTCAGAGACCCATCTGTGATCCCAGCCCTGTGTGTCCTGATGACCAACTCGCAGAACGAACAGGTGCTTCGCCCGTTGAACCTTCTAACATTCATACTTACCGTTTCTGAAATTTACTTCTGCATTAATTAAAGCTACGAGTTCAAAATCTCACAATATTTTGGTATCTCCTTATGTAGCCTACATATATGGCTCTGTAACAGGTTCTAACTACCGTTTTACATACTGTACATCACCAGATACTGCTGAAACTGCAGCATCAGTAAATCTGATGGCACTGATTCGTGAATCCTTTTGTTAAACTTTAAAGTCATGTGAAGATGGATATCCTAACATAACATAGATTATGTTGTAGTGGAGTGGCTGTCTTGCATTAAAACGTACTGAATGTGACTGACATTTGGGGCTAAAAATAGTTCATTCATGTACCAGGGTGACCCCTAATTCTGGCAGTAATAGTAGAAATTATTTCGTTTTTAATTAGGTTAATAACAGCAGCTGGGGTCCAAGTAAAGCCCTAGAACACAGAGGCAGGTCATCGATTAAGTTTGCCATCTCTGTGCTTCTCTGCCCTGTAGATCCGTCAGTCTGCTGCTGTGATGTTGAGGCTCAGAGTAACAAAGCACTGGAGGAAAATCAGCACTGAGCACAGGGAAAGGTGCAGCCGCTCTCTGCCTGAACGCTAGAATGTACGGAGTGCTCAGCACCGTGCTCAGTGTTAACGTGGTCTCTGCGTCTTGCTCTCCAGACTGAAGGCGGAGGTGCTGCGGGCTTTCCAGAAGGAGACCGAGTAAGTCTGCAGAGTCTCTGCCTCTTTGTTCAGTTTAATGGTGATTTATACGGGAGCCAGTTTAGATAGGTACCTGGATCACCCTGACAGGGTCTCTGGAGGGGCAGGACCGAGCCCTTCAGGAATGGATGCCCTAGACCTCAGTGCTGCCTTCGGATTGTTTTGGAAATAGTTGTTTGCTTGCCTAGAGCAGGCTGAGGTTCACTTTGGATATGTTTTGTGAAATTGACCAGTTTCTAGTGCCTTTCACAAGCCAGATCTGGCCGGTTCTTTCTCATAATAAGTAAATGTCATGTAGTTGTGAAATTAAGTCTCCATCGTTGAACCCCCCGCCCTCTTGTCTCAGGCATGCGGTGCGTCACTCCCTGTCTCAGCTCAGCGCCGTCCTGGTGAAGCGTGAGTCACCGGACTGCTGGCCGGCACTGCTCGCCTTACTCGATGAGTCCACTAAGAGCATCAGCCCCGAGGACCGGCGGGTACGGTGACCGACCTCCTCTCTGCTTTGGGTTGCTATGAAAATAACATTATCAGGCAGATTGTTTGACATCACGCTGCCATTCCAGGCCCTTCCCTCATTCCCGTTAGGGGCTGTTGTGATGCCCTCAGGCTCCTTAAACACACATGGCTTGTCTCTCTGTCTCTCAGGTTGGTTTACTGCTCCTCAGTAAAGTGGTGGAGTCAAACCCGGAGCCGTTCAGGCCACACTACTGCCAGCTTCTGGAGCTGTTTGGGACCGTGCTGGAGGACCTCGGTAATCCCAGTGCCCTCTACTACTGCATTCTGACGCTGACGGCCATGACGGCATACACGGGCACTGAGGAGATGGTGAGGCCCACGTGCGTGCCGTCCTGTCCTGCAAGTCCCGCCTCCGCAGCCACGTGATGCCGTCCTCATTGCCATTTCAGGCCCTGATGCGGTCGCTTATCCCAAAGCTGATCGTGGCCATTGGACGCCTGATCCAGGCTGATCAGGTGAGCCGCATGCGTTGCCACGACAACTGCTGCCGATCTCCTAATTGTTAAACGGACTGTGGATGAAGGTCAGGATGTCTGTCACATCAGGACCAGGCCAGCGAGGCGATGGAGGTGTTTGACGAGCTGATGGAAAGTGAGGTGTCCATCATTGTCCCCTACATTTCTGAAGTCGTCCAGTTCTGCTTGGAGGTTTGTTGTCTTTTTTTATTTTTATTTTTTTTTTTTAAATTGGTCTTTGCGCTGTTGGTCTTGACCAGCTGTCTGTGTCTGTTTCTGTGGTTTATCATTAGGTGTCAGCTGACCCAGGTCTAAGCGACTCGCTCCGTGTAAAAGCTCTGTCCTGCATCGCCTTCCTTGTTAGATTGAAAAGCAAAGTGAGTGAGCATGCAGCAGGGGGCACTGTGTTACCTCATGCCTGTATTACCTGTACATTTCAGTGTTGTATCAGTCTGTGTGAATGTACCATGGGACTGTTATCCATCCTTCCTGCAGGCGGTTTTAAAGCAGAAACTGGTGGGGCCCATCCTGCAGATGTTATTTCCCCTGTTGAGTGCAGTGCCCCCTCCTGGCCAGGAGGACCCAGAAGACCAAGAGCAGGCAGTGGATGATGACGGTGACAGCGAGAGCCCAAAACACTTTGCAGCTCAGGTGTGTGTGATAATCAGCAGCTGGTAAATGTTTCGCTTGCTATCGTCCCATGACTGAGGTCCTCGTGACGCCTTTTTTTGCCCTCAGGTTCTCGACACACTGGCCTTACATTTGCCCCCGGAGAAGCTGCTCCCCCTACTGGTCAGTGTGGTTTCGGCTTGTCAAGGCCGCCATGTTCTGTAGGTTTTGCGGCGGCTGACCGAGGGTCTCTGCTCCTCTTGCTGGATGCGTTGCACACTGGCCTGGCACCTGACGCTCTGCCCCTGCCCCTCCGTCTCTCCACACCCCTCAGATGCCCCCTGTGGAGACCTGCCTGGCTAGCAGGAACCCATATGAGCGCAAAGCCGGCCTCATGTGCCTGGCAGTGCTGGCCGAGGGCTGTGCCGACCACATCCGCACCAAGTGAGGCTCGTTCACTGCTGCGTTTTCATTTAAAAATGCAGACATTAATCTCCATATTTGCCTTTAGTCCACACTACCTTAGAGTTTTCAACCTCTAAAAATGGAGACTTTTGAAAATGCTCTTTGGAGCTGTATACTTCTGAAAAATCCACTGCGATGTGATGAGTGAAAATGCAGATGCTTTCTGTTCCTGTTTTCGTCCATGCTCACATGCCCAGTGCAGGGTAGTAGCTACGTCATTGCTTGTTTCATTGCTGATGGAATTGCTTTATAAAACAAGGTGGAAATGCCTGTGTGAATGGTGATTGCTTTTATTTGAGAGTGGAAGGCGTAGCAGTATGGATGTAGCGTGTGACGTGTTCTCGTTGTGACCCTCATGTCCTTTCCAGGATGCTGGAGTCAGTTCTGCAGACGGTGTGCAGCTGCCTGTCTGACAGCAGTGTGGTGGTGCGCGGGGCGGCCCTCTTTGCCCTCGGCCAGTTCTCCGAACATCTGCAGGTCAGTGAGTCTCTCCGTCCCTAACTCCCTCCCTCCCTCTTTCTCTCCCTCTATCTCTCTCAGCTCATGATTGGTCCATCAGCTGCCCCCCCCGCTTCCCCTGGCCAGCAGGGTCATTTATGTCTGTTTCAACAAAGGCCGGACTTGTGGCACGGAAAACCGCACTTGCTTGTTCTGTGTTCCGTCTGCCTCAGCCTGGTACCTCCTTGCCTCTGATGAAACCCTTTATTGCTGTTGCAATACACCATGTCACTAGTCACAAGTACCAGCGAAAAACTGGCCATCAACCTGACCGTACATATACAAACATCACATTATAGGGGTAGACATGTCTTCACCTTGTGGTGAGAATTACGACATCATCTGTAGACCTTGAGTATTCAGACTCCCCACCCCCACCCCCACACAGCCGGAGATCAGTAAATACAGCTCTGATCTGATGCCGCTGTTGCTGGGATACCTGTCTGCACTGGACCACACGAAGACTGGGCACATCAACAAGGCCTTCTATGCTCTGGAGAACTTCCTGGAGAACCTTGGTTCGTAACTGCCTTATCTCCTCGTGAAGCACAGGGTTATACTTGGTTGCATATTGTATGAGTTGGTAATGAGATATTCTATGCACACTCCTTGTGTCCCATTGTGTGTATTCAGATCACTGTGGGTTTAGTTTGAAATGCCTTCCAGTCGCTTGTAGATCTCGTGGTGCTTGGCTCCATGTGGCTGGTCTCAGCTGACCTTCCCTCACGCCGCCCTCAGGGAAGGACATCCATCCATATCTGCCCACCTTGATGGACATCATGCTAGCTGCCCTGAGCGAGTCGCAGAACCTGAAGATCCAGGAGCTGGCTGTCAGCGCAGTGGGAGCTATTGGTAACAGCGTAAACCACTGCCTGTCCAGGTACTGCTGCACCCCCCCCTTGGGCCCCGGTCACGCTTATCCCCGCCCCTGTCATGTTCACAGCCAATGCAGCAAAGGAGCTGCTGGCACCGTACTTCGTACCAGTGATTAGCAGCCTGAAGGGTTTTCTGACGGACACCCGGGAAGAGATGAGGTCACTGCAGACGCAGGCATTGGGTAGGCAGAGGGCTGCGATCCTGATCCCATCTGGGTCACAGTCGGCTGGCCTCCAAGTGACCGTGCTGTTTCTGCCCCCCCCCCCCCCCCAGACACGCTATCAGTGCTGGCTCGCACCGTGGGCAAAGACGTGTTCGCCCCCCTGGCGGCGGAGTGTGTGCAGCTGGGCCTCAACCTCACTGACGCTGTGGACGACCCTGACCTGCGTAGATGCACGTATGGTCCCGCCCGCGTGCCTCCGTGTGCCCCCCGCCCGCGTGCCTCCAAGCTGCTTCTAGCCCCCCTGTTTTTGCCGCTGAGCACTCACACTCACATTCTCTAATCCTTACCGTAACCCTCTCTCTCGCTCACCCCAGGTACAGCCTGTTCTCTGCTGTGTCCACAGTCAGCCCTGACTGTCTGACCCCTCACCTTCCAGCCATTACCACCATCATGCTGATGGCTCTGAAGTCCACTGAGGGAGTCCGGGTCTGTCCTCTTCACAACACCAGCAAACAGCAGCCCTTGATAGGCCGCTCTTCCTCTCTTTATTAAATTCAAAGCCCCTTTTAGGTACTAGGTAACTTTCAGTAAGAGTTGTCCTGGTTTCTTAATGTTTGCTAGACTCACCTTGAAGAAGACAAGCAGTTTATCCTGTTGGATGATGATGAAGAGGAGGAGGAAGGTGATACCAGTTTGGAGGATGATGAGGGACACGAGGAAGAAGGCACAGATGTTGCGGGGTTTGTCATCATCATGGGGGGGCTATAGCCGTAGCATGCTCAGCCCTTCTCCATTCGATTGGCTGTCCATCGGGGCATGCTTAGCCCTTCTCCATTCGATTGGCTGTCCATCTGGGCTTTTCTGTTCCTGCTGACACTTGTCTCTGTTTCTGCAGGTTCAGCGTTGAAAACGCCTACATTGACGAGAAGGCCGACGCTTGTGAAGCCCTGGGTGAAATGGCCTTCAGCACAGGGTATGCGCACGCGTCCTTTTAAAATCTGCCTCCACTGGTCGGCACAACCCTCACTGTGTACTCCCTCCCCACCCCCCCCAGCGCTGCATTCCTGCCTTTTCTGGAGTCCAGCTTCCAGCAGGTCTATGAGCTCCGTGATGTAAGTTCTGCCTTGTTCACTTCACTTCTCTGTGCAGGTCCTCTGTGGCTGTGCTGTCCTCTGTGCCCATCTCCCACCCTCCTCTGACCCTTCTCCGTACCCTTCCTTTGACCTTTCTCTGTGCCCTCCTACGGTTTACCACTGGCTCTCCTCTGACCTGCCTCTATGCCCTCCTCTAACCCTCCTCTGTGCCCTCCTGTGGCTCTCCTCTAACCCTCCTCTGTGCCCTCCTGTGGCTCTCCTCTAACCCTCCTCTGTG